TTTGGAACCTGGCGCCCAACAATACCTTAGGTATTTTCGAGAGTGAAATTTGTTAGCCCCTGGGTTGCCTGGAACGCGTAGGAATCGCGTAAGTTGTGCGCCGGTCGGTCTTGCATTTTCCGGTGAGGTTGATCGCGTAAAAATACGTCACAGTGTGTACGAGATCCAATTTCCAAAAGGGCACGGCACGTCACATATGCATATAGCGGACACTCATGACTTTACGACGTTTCCTGAAAACCCCACTACGATCCCACTCATCTCCGAAAAAATCATCCTTAACCAATCCTGACCCAGTAAATACTTCACCCCCATACAAAGTATCCCGCCGAAATTTTGAACACCCATGACTCAACTTCCTTAACCATCACGTACTCTTTTCCTAGCGATTTCCCTTAGATGAACCAATAGTAACAATCGTTGAACGTTTGAATAAGTTGCGCATGGCGCGCATCACGTGACTTCACAAGGAACATCACTTTAGTGCCCCCCCCCCCCACAAATTTTTATGAAACTCAACTATGTTGTAGCACTTGAAAATTTAAGAGACACGTGTTTTTTTTTTATCGACGGAAAAATGGTTTTAGGGGGTGAAATCAACCAAAGTTCGGTATGTCGAGGGGAGGTAATGCAGTTTCACGTAGAAGGAGTCGACCGATTTCAATGAAACAAAAACTAAGAAGTTTCTCATCGCGAGTAATGTAAAGTGCACCTAGATATTAAAAATAATTGTCTCTTGAGGGGGTTAACCACCTGTTGATTATTCTTTTTTTTTTTACCCTATTTAAAAAACTTACGATTGGAATTTAATGAAACGCGTACCATTTGAAAGAAGAAGTAAAATTAAAGTTTACATGTTCTTGCTATTTTGCGGGAAGTCACGTTTAAGGGAGTATACCACCCCCTGCGTACCGATGCATCAATTCCCGTACAGAACCACTTATCGCGAATTAGAAAAATAAAACGTGCGATTTTCATTGAAGATTATAATTATATATCTGTGAACTGTCATAGATTTAGTGATTTTTATATTTGAATGACGTAAGTATTTAAAAGAAGGAAAAAAAAGATGCTAGAAGTGAGACTCGAATCAGCAACCCTGCGATCACTAGGCTCGAGTATTACCCGGTAAGCTATGTACTCTGTTTGAATACTGTAACACATTTGGTTGGCTAAAGATAGCTAAAGGTCACCCCTCTCTCTCTCTCTCTCTCTCTCTCTCTCTCTCTCTCTCTCTCTCTCTCTCTCTCTCTCTC